TTTGCTCCCTGCTAGTTCAAATGTGCTAACCAGTGAAAGAGAATGTAACATTTTCTAAAAAAAAGTCTTGGGCTGTAGGGGGTTTGTGTGCTGCTTTGTGTTATATAATTTATGTGGTCTTTATTACTAGCTTGTAAACTAAGTTGGCACGGGAAGGACTGTTTCTTACACCTACAGCATTTCACACAGTGCTCTGATAGCTCTAGATCTATTTTTTGACAACATGTACTGTCTTCAAAAAGGGTTTTGATGCCTTGCTTAAACGGGAATATAGAGACCTATGTTCTGTGTTTCTACCCTTTTGGATCCTATATGTTTGAAGAAAAATCTTTAAAGACATTTTCTCTTTCAATTCCAGAGTGATCCTCTTGACCATTCATCCTAGGAACTATCATTAGCAGAAAACATTGTTACCTACCTGTATGTGGTATTACTTTTTTAGGGAGAAATAGAATTAGCAAGTTGAGAAACAGGAACATAGGAAGAAAGGGGTTTTGGTTTGGGAAAGGAGCTCCTAATGCTCTTTAATATCACACCTTAATCAATTACCAAAGGTCCTGTGTACAGAACAGTTTATATTTTGATATTGTTGCTAGTTTTATTCTATTCCATTACCATAAAGTATTAACACCTATGCACTCATAGGCCAGGTAATACATCCCTTAAGCTTGCAGGGTCCTAAGCCCCACTTAGACCGACTGAATCAGAATCCTGGAAAGCTGTACAAAGAATCTTGATGTGTTTCTTGTGTACATGAATAAGCTGAAAACCAGCTGTTCTAGAGGGTCTAGTTAATGAAAATTGGGTTGGAGGCAGGTGGGTTTGGAGGCTTTAATGTTATAGGTTTTCCTCTTCTTACTAATTCCTCTAATAACATAGTTAAATGATGTAAGTTAATTTTTAGCTTTTGCAATTGAATCCTGTTATTTTGCAGTATTATCATGTATTTGGCTCTGACAGTGTGATCCAAGCCTGCTAGCTTGATGCCCGGTGGCGGCTGTCACATACCTAATGACATCGGTGGAAGGGTCCTTTGCTCCCTGCTAGTTCAAATGTGCTAACCAGTGAAAGAGAATGTAACATTTTCTAAAAAAAAGTCTTGGGCTGTAGGGGGTTTGTGTGCTGCTTTGTGTTATATAATTTATGTGGTCTTTATTACTAGCTTGTAAACTAAGTTGGCACGGGAAGGACTGTTTCTTACACCTACAGCATTTCACACAGTGCTCTGATAGCTCTAGATCTATTTTTTGACAACATGTACTGTCTTCAAAAAGGGTTTTGATGCCTTGCTTAAACGGGAATATAGAGACCTATGTTCTGTGTTTCTACCCTTTTGGATCCTATATGTTTGAAGAAAAATCTTTAAAGACATTTTCTCTTTCAATTCCAGAGTGATCCTCTTGACCATTCATCCTAGGAACTATCATTAGCAGAAAACATTGTTACCTACCTGTATGTGGTATTACTTTTTTAGGGAGAAATAGAATTAGCAAGTTGAGAAACAGGAACATAGGAAGAAAGGGGTTTTGGTTTGGGAAAGGAGCTCCTAATGCTCTTTAATATCACACCTTAATCAATTACCAAAGGTCCTGTGTACAGAACAGTTTATATTTTGATATTGTTGCTAGTTTTATTCTATTCCATTACCATAAAGTATTAACACCTATGCACTCATAGGCCAGGTAATACAACTAAAAGTCACAAAGTCACATTTATGTGTGAATGTTTTAATAGGTCTAAAACTGTATGTTTTTAATTTATTTTGGGGGTGGGGGACAAATGTAACCCTAAAAAGTTGCTTTCAGGTTGTTATTTCAAAAAAGTATTCCCACTTGTTTCCATTTGATAGTCCACTTTATGTTTCTCTCCTCCCTTGTGCGGTATCAGCAAATGCTACTCATGAACTGGATTGATGTGTATAGATCCTGTTTTCCCCAAACAGCAGATAAAGAGCATTGCTGATAGCTATAAAACAGAAATACTTCATTTTTAAAAGTGTCTTGGTTAACCGGAATCTTAAAACAGTATCTCAAGTACCAGTATAAAAGTAGTAACTTTTTATCATTTTTTTCCCTTTTTTAATTAAGGGTGTCACTCTTGCAGATTTGTATCTACAAAAGTAAAAAAAGGTCAAATCCCTCCTTCCCACCTCACTCTATCTTTTAGAAGTCTATAATCTAAACAGGCAGGACCTTGAGATAAAGTAAACTTTATAACAAACTCACATTAATATTAACATTGAAACATTTTACAAAAGGGTCCCACTTGAAATAACGTCTGCATTTTTTACCAAGTATTTAGTCTTTATTTCTTTTTCTCTCAATAATGTTTGACTGATATTGAATATTTCAGTTTTTAGGGAAAATTACTCATGCTTACAACTATTCTGATTTTTAAACACTGGCATGTTTTTAGTGGTCTTTCAGATGCATGTGTATAAACAAATAGCTCTATAATCTCTATTTTCTAAAAGTTAAATCTCAAAGTGTGACTCATTTTGGCTTTACTGTTCTGATATAGAAACCAGCATTCTTAGATCAGTTTTTCAGCAGTTTATACTTAGGCAGTTTCTCCAGTCCTGTCATGGACCCTTGACTTTGCTGTCATCTCCTGCCTTACTGGCTTCTCTTGCTGGTGGTGAGAATCGATAGGTAAGTGTTTCCAGGAGAGAAGGAATAATGAACTTGACCATAGCTTCTTGCTTTTCTCTCTGTTAAACTTCACATGCTTACATCCCCTTAGTTTTCTTGTTTTTCCACATAAGCTACCCCCACATTATAATTCTGTTGTAATTTATCATGTTCTTTTTTATGAAAGATTGTATATAATAAGTTTGCAACTAGCTTTATAGATGTGCCTATGTAGTTTCAAAAATGTGGATTAAGCATTTACAAACTGAGTCCTTTTAAAGGCTAGACGTTCAATGAGATGGTTTAAAAATATTTAAAAAAATTACAAAAAATTGATCCTATGTATCTTTTTCTGTTTACATGAGTGACTGCTTCTTTTCTGAAAGTTATGAGTCCAACTCTTAACTTGAAAGGCTGTGCAACTTTACATCTTTGCAGGTATATAAAATTGTTCTCGGATAGTTACATCTGGTTTTTGCATCATATTCCCTACATTCCCTACTTTTTCTGTATGGTACTTCTGTATCTTCAGGTCATTAATCTTACATAGGCTCTCATTTCTCTTAAAATTGTATATTTTCATTATCTCTTCTCTCTCTCTTTTTTTTAACATCACTTTTATGGCATTGTCTAAAGGCAGATGCAACTGGCATTTGGGAATATTTCATTTGTGTAAATGTTCTCTCTTTTTTTGTGGTGTACTATTAAATAAGATTGTAGCTTGATATGTCTTCTTTGGCCTGCCTTTTAAAAGCATTAGGCCACTAGAATGCTATTGTGTCGGCAGTTCGCTGTTCCTCTTGGTAGAAAAACTTGAAATGACCCTTTCAGGTGTGATCTGAGGTATGACTGGGCTGATACCTCTGGTTGGAGAATAAGATAGATATGGTTAACCAAATGCAAGGGGTTGGAAATTTCTATGGGCAGGAAAGGACACAAACGGGCATACAATTAGAGGAGGAGAGCCCCACACGGTTTCCACCGCTTCTTTTTCTTTTTCAAAACTTGAGAGCCGCATAGATTTGGGTATCATTCTAGTAAAGGTCTCTGGGATGAGTCCTGCCCAGGAATATACACCCATTCTTTGGGACCTTGTTAATTTCACACTTGCTAATTTTAAGGGTTGAAGATGATATTGATTAAAAGCAACCTCTAATGACCAGAATTAAATACTAGCCCTTTGTTAATACAATATTATTACTACCTTTTAATTTAACAGGAAGTTCACTCTGAAACCTAGTGTCTGGCTAATGGTAGTGGTGTGGTTGTATAATCAGCTGTATTTTCTTTGGAATATCCCTCTGTTTGGGAACGGAGGAAGAAGGAACTCTTGGTGAAAGAAGAAAATCTGGGATAATGATTTACACTGTGCAGCATTTTAATCTGGATTATCATTGAGGTAGATTCATGATCATAAGGGTGTACTCCAGTATACAAACATGAGTGATACATTTCATTCTGTCAATAAGTGTTGAATTTAACTGTGTGTTACTTATTCTGTTAGATGAGGATTGCTAACACATGTCCTTTTATACTTACAGTAGATCTGATTTCCTGTTTAAGAAATGGGCTTGACTAACCTTTCTCTGCCCTTTCAAAGATCTGATGCTACAATGAATAGGAGGAAGGGGAACTGGAAATTGTAGCTACTTGAATACAAAATGTTGCCTGAGTCTGGAATTTACAAAACTTAGATTTCTCCCCCACCCCCCAAATACTTTTTTTTTAAGCACCACTTGGCAAGAACTAATTTATTCACTTTCTAAAGTGGACTTATGTTTGTCTAGCAAGAAAATCAGCAAAAGGGTTCTCAAAGAAGCTAGTGATGAAATTGAAAAGTGTCTACTGTTACCACTGGTGATAAATCAAACTGATGTTAAAGATGCAAATAGTCCTTTCCAGCACTCTCTTCTCCGATACTAGAATTGTTTAAGTTAATTAAGCCAGCAAAGTACTTCATTATCTACTATGCTGCATGCTAATGGTAGATTTAAAGTGTCAATGTTTTTAATATGAAAGAATTTCTGAATCATATTTAAATCTCTATATCCATTGTATTCTAAGCATATATACTTAATAGTGATTTATATTGTTAATTGGGATAATATATTTATTGTACCACGGTTTTCTAGTTTGTGAGGTTTACAAACCCAAGAAATTTTAGGAAATGTTTCAAATTACCACATTCAGGGTAAATTTTATCCATCTTCTTGAGAAAGTGATTAAAACAATATATAATGAATTTTTATTAGACTGTCAGTAATTTAATTACATTCAACTTAGCATTGTTGAATTTTAAATGTACCCTATTAACTAGAATTAAAAAAGCTGTTATAAATTACTGATACGATTGGTTTCTTTCATTTGCAGCATTTAAATATTAGGACACTGACGGATGATATGGTAAGATTATTCTCAACATTTCCCTTCCTGTGAATCTTAACTAACCATGTAATGTGGATGGTGTGCTGTGCTAACTAACACCTTTGAAACTGCCAAACTGCCAAAAACTGCATGTTTTGGAAATGTACAGTTTTTATAGTGCTGAAAAAAGAGGCAGAACTGGTAAAATACATACAATTGTTGCCTTTAAGTAGTAAAAGGGATTAGTCAGTATGTTAATTAAAAAAATTTGTTTAATTACAAACTGTTAGTCAACTTTGAATCATTCAAATCAGCCTCTATTCTTTGGGGATGAATTACATGCTTGAAAAAAGAGAAAAAAATAACTGAAGACATGTCAGCTTTTCAGAAATATGTAGTTGCTAATTAAAGTAAACCACATTAAAATATCATGCATGTATTTAAAAACATTTTTGCTTAAAAATGAGAGAACCAAGCTTGCCTTACTGTGTGTTCTGCATGTTGAAAATAATATGCTTTCTTATAAGTAATGTTTTATAGCAGCATTACAGGTTCTTGTATCTTGAAGTACATTTTTCTGAGTAACATATTTTTGACTGGAACTTTTGGTTAAAAGTAAAAGTTGAAAATAATGAGGTCCAAATAATAACACCCAAAATAGTAAGCTTGATAGAGAAGATAGAGCATGGTACTCTAGTGATCAGGCTTTGGATTCAAATTCACCTTCTATCAAATATGAAACAGAGTGCCTAGAACATAGTAAGCTCTCAAATATTTAGTACCCCTGTTATCCAGAGTACATCAAGGAACTTGGGTAAGGCGGACATGCAAAGATAAGACATAGATCTTGACATGCATGGTTTTAAAAATTGAATTACAATGTTTTATTTCTCTATCTAAAAAAAAATTCTGTAATCTCTGTATAATGTTTACTTTCAAATAATATTTAGAAAATGATAGCAATATGGAGCATTAGGTAGATTACACTTGTAACTTCTCATACTCTGCATGGGAGATAGGGTCCTCATCTTACAACTGAGTGTATTGAGGCTCCGTTGGGAGCTTGCCCACGTATGCACAGCTGGCACGTGGTGTGGCTGTGGCTTGAATCTTGTTCCATGTGGCTCCAAATCTATACACTACTGTGCTGACTTAGCCTTCAAATGGCTTGAAGCCAGTAGTAAAACCATCTGCAATTTTTATATTTGAAGTCTTATAAAAATATACAATGATATATTTGGAATAGCCTTATTGAGCTATAATTCACATAGCTTCTAGTTCAGCCATTTAAAGTGTAAATTCAATTATTTTTAGCATATTCATAGAATTGTACAACCATCACCATAACCAGTTTTAGAATATTTTCATTACCCCAAAAGCAACTTCATACTCATAAAGTAGTCACTCCCTGTTTATTCCCAGCGTCAGTCAAGTCTATACTACTTTGTTTCAAGGTTCATCCATGTTGTAGCGTGAGTCACTGCTTTCTTCCTTTCTATTGCTGAATATAGTATCTCTGAGGTTTGTACATATCTTAGGGGCACACTACACCTTTTCTCCCTTCTTTTATTCAGATACTGCCCTTACCTTCACCATAGGACTGTCCTTGCACATTGCTATCCCACAGCCTTTACCTTAAGTTCTAGGAATGGTCATGTTATGCAGTGGCTTCAACAGGCCAGTTTAGAAGCCGTCTTGCTCTCATCTTCTGTTAATAAATGGCTTCCTCTTCAGAGAAGGCTTTAAAATCTTCTTCCTCTATCCTGCCTCCATTTCTTGCTTGTCCACTCAATGTTGCAGCGGGGCTCAGTAAGGTCGGAACATCACCCTTTTGTCTTCTCACTAGTTTAAACCTTTTGAAGGCAGAGGCCATGTGTTGTTAATGCTTCCAGGCATGTTGTCAGGCACATGTGGAGCATTGTCATAAACTTGTTGGAATGAGAGAAGGAGTCCCTGCTCTGATAACCTGCCTTGTATCGTGGTTTCCTTGGTTCTGGGCCTGGCACCATCATGGTCAGGCTTCCCAGGGATGGAATTTTGCCTGGGTACAGGGTGGAGGTACTTTGACAAGGATCTGCTGTCAGTCTGTCTGACCACTTGCCTGGATTGCTAATTGTTACCTTACCTCTGTCTTTATCTGAGATGTACACAGGACTGTCTCCCCTGGATTCCTCCTTGATTTACTTTATGTTGATGAGCCGACTGTTCTTTCCTGGTCTTTAGCCTGACTCTTGAGTAGGCAGGGCTTGAGTCCAGGGAAGGATCAAGCAGGCGGTCTACTTTAGGCAGCCGGATCCATTGTTGTGGAGCTTAGACAAGGAGCATGGCTACCTTCAACAGGACACACTGAAAAGTAAGTTCCTTCTTACTCATTGGGATTGTTGAAGTGTGAGAGAGCATTGGATTTGGAATCAGACTTGTCGAAAAACAGGACTTCACCACTTCTTAGCTCTAACCTTGTAAATCAATTTTTTGATTGTTCGCTTATTTGTAAAGTTGGCCTAACTATACCCTCTTTACCTTCCTCAGAGGGTTTTGGTGATTTTTCATTTAAGCCAGTTTGTTGAATTGCTGCTTTCAGTTCTGTCGCTTTTTAGCTACTTTCAAACTGCTTCCCAGGGTATTGTCAGAGGGGTGATGTGATGCATTTGCAGCTGAACCTTGCAGGGTATATGTGTTACAGATTAGTGAAGACCTTTGAGGAGGGAAAGGATAGCTGGATATTTAGAAGGCTCTGGGAACTATTTCTGATGCGTTAGAGCTCAGGGAAGCATTTACCACTGATGCTTTGTGTACTAGCAATATGTTTTCTAATTAAAGGTTGCCACTCCCATAACATGTTGCATGTGTTAAATCTGTTAATTTAGAACTTCTTTATGTGAATAAACCTTTTTTGGGCAGAACTTAAGAGAATGCATTTTAGAATGAAGCCTACTGTAGTCATATTTTGCATAACAATATTCTAGAAATATAAATTGAAAATATCCTGGGAAGCATTAATGGAAAAAAACCCATCTCTTTAAGTTGCTTCATTAAAGCCCTGCAAAAATACCTCACATTTCATGGCTATTTCTTGAGTTACAATCAGAATTTAATTTCATAGGATACTCTTTGGTTAAAGAAGTGAAATATGACTGTAGTGTTGAGGTCCCAGGCAGAGTTAATATACTTTAAACTGTGCTCATTCTACAAATACCTGAGCATTAACCATGTATAAAGTGCAGTCTGAGGTGCTAAGATTACATAAAGGTAAAAAAATCATTTAGTTTATGACCTTGCATTGTTTATACCTGGACTGAAAAGAAAGCTTTCCTTGTGGAGGCAAAAAGGTTGAGTGGACGACAGTGTCCGGAGCCAAGTTTGAGAAGGTGAATTAGAAGAAACCGAATGTGGTGGTCACAAAGTTGAACTGTCTGTGTTGAGAATTAGGCTTGGGGTTGATTAATGATTGTGCATAAAGTCCCCTATACAGAATTTTATTGTTGTTAACAACCATTTGATCAATAAATATGAGAGATGCCCTCTCAAAAAAAAAAAAGTTTAACTGTCTGTGAAGTAGCCACTGAGTGTTTTTTTTTCTTCCTTTTTTGCATTCTAAGCATTGTTTTATGACTTTTTTCCTCCCTAGTGCCTCACAACCATTTGTCTACAAGTACACTCCTTCTGCTGATCTTATTCTCCCCCACTGCATCCAGCTTACTTACTGTAACCCCTGGTTTGGCCTGCAGCATGGTTTCAAACTTTTAGGATTGGGACCCACCATAAGAAACACATTTTATTTTGTAACCCAGCACAAATGTACATACAAATTCTCAGTTGAAACAGTTTGAAAACGCAGTGTTAAGCATGTCTAAGCCTAATGAATTCTGATCTTTTCCTTTCCGATTCCTTTCTACTGTTCCTTATTCCTCTGTATTACATTAAAAAAGAAAAAAAAGGTGACATACTCCACTACCAGTGAGTACATGGTACTCATGACCTACAACTATAGCTAGAAAACAGACATTGGCCTGCACAGCAACTAGAGAAGTTGTGAGATCTCTCCACTAGTGTCTGCTCTTTACTTGATTACACGTAAGTGAATGTAGAGGGCTGCGTTAGTGCCAGCTCTGCCCCTTCCTCGCCATGTGACTTTGCATAAGTCTGTTTTTGAGCCTGGATATCCCTGTTTATAAGGATTCTTAAAAAACAGATTTATTTTACTGTATTTTTTGAATTATAATAATATTTTTTATGGAAGTATAGTTGATAGACAATCTTATATTGGTTTCAAGTATACAACACAGTTATACACATTATTAAAAATATTTTTTTTATTAAGGTATCATTGATATACAATCTTATGAAGGTTTCACATGAGCAACATTGTGGTTACAACATTCACCCATATTATCAGGTACCCCCCCAACCCCATTACAATCACTGTCCATCAGCATAGTAAGATGCTGTAGAGTCATTACTTGTCTCCTCAGTGCTATACTGCCTTCCCCATAGCCCTCCTACATTATGTGTGCTCATCATAATGCCCCTTAATCCCCTTCTCCCTTCCTCCCCACCCACCCTCCCCAACCCCTTCCCTTTGGTAACCACTAGTCCCTTCTTGGTGTTTGTGAGTCCGTTGCTGTTTTGTTCCTTCAGTTTGCCTTGTTCTTATACTCCACAAATGAGTGAAATCATTGGTACTTGTCTTTCTCCACCTGGCTTATTTCACTGAGCATAATACCCTCTAGCTCCATCCATGTTGCTGCAAATGGTAGGATTTGTTTTTTTCTTATGGCTGAATAATATTCCATTGTGTTTATATACCACATCTTCTTTGTCCATTCATCTACTGATGGATACTTAGGTTGCTTCCATTTCTTGGCTATTGTAAATAGTGCTGTGATACACACATTTTTAAATCCTCTCCCCAACTAGTGTAGTTACTGTCTATCAACATGTTACATGCTGTACAATATTCTCCATGCTGTACTACCGTTCCTGTGACCAATTTCTATTGTGACTGAGAAATTTTTGTGCCGCTTTATCCCCCTCATCCT